GAGCTGAGCCCTGGCGGTAGGATAGTGCCTCAGGAGGAAAGAACTGCCTGCAAGGCCTCTAACTCCCTCTCCCTCACCCAGATTTAACAACCTGGGTGTCCTTCATGTGACCAAGAAGAACATGATGGAGATTATGATACAAAAACTTCAGAGGCAGCGACTCCGCTCCAGGCCTCAGGGCCTTACTGGTATGGTGGGGGGAGGGTTATGGAAGGTGGTCATGGAAGGAATAGAGAAGGAGTCCAGGGGTCACACTGTGCCCACTTTCCAGAGGCTGAGCGTCGGGAACTAGAGCAGGAGGCCAAGGAGCTGAAGAAGGTGATGGATCTGAGCATCGTACGACTGCGCTTTTCTGCCTTCCTTCGAGCCAGTGACGGCTCCTTCTCCCTGCCCCTGAAGCCTGTTATTTCTCAACCCATCCACGACAGCAGTGAGTATCCTGGCTACCTGGGATGCAAGGCCTAGGTGTCATAGGGCACATGGGAGGCAACCTCAGGTTGTGGAATCAGATAGGTTTGGGTCTGAACTTGGCCCTACCACGTATGAATTATGTGATCTTGAGCAAGTCATTTCCCCCGAGTATGGCTTCTGTCTTGGGTAAATGAAGATTCTAGAGGTTCCTCTACCTCTTGATGATGTTCAGATGATACAAAGTACCTGGCTCCATAAACAGGACCATGTCTCTTACGTCATCTGAAGTAATTGATATCCCACCCCCACAGAGTCTCCTGGAGCCTCGAACCTGAAGATTTCTCGAATGGACAAGACAGCTGGCTCCGTGCGGGGTGGAGATGAGGTTTATCTGCTTTGTGACAAGGTGCAGAAAGGTGAGGCTAGAGCCCAGGCTGGGAACTAGGGATGCTGGATATCAAGATTGGGGGCCAGGACAACTTCAGAACAAATGGCCATGGAGATTCCACTAGGAGCTGTAGCCAACCTTCAGTTTTCCCTGTAGATGACATTGAGGTTCGGTTCTACGAGGATGATGAGAATGGATGGCAGGCCTTTGGGGACTTCTCTCCCACAGATGTTCATAAACAGGTACTCTAGGGCTGGGGCTGGGGCTGGGGGCCCATCTAGGCCAAGGCCTCCGTGACACCTTACATCCTCCTCTGTCCAGTATGCTATTGTGTTCCGGACACCTCCATATCACAAGATGAAGATTGAGCGTCCCGTAACTGTGTTCCTGCAACTGAAACGCAAGCGTGGGGGAGATGTCTCTGACTCCAAACAGTTCACGTATTACCCACTGGTGGAAGGTGGAGCTGGGCTGAAGATCCCAGGCGGGCTGGAGGTGGAGGGCTGGGTGGGAGGGTCCCAACAACTAGATAAGGGAACCTGAGTCAAGTCAGGAGTGGGGAAGGTCTCAGGAAGAGGTGGTCCTAGGAGCCAGCCTGAGGGCTTTAAGGGGAAAGGGCCATTACCAGCCTTGGGACAGGGCTCTTGAGTGCCCATGAATGGGGGTTCTAACATCTCATTTCCCTCTGCCCCCAGACAAGGAGGAGGTGCAGCGGAAGCGGAGGAAAGCCTTGCCTACTTTCTCCCAGCCCTTCGGGGGTGGCTCCCACATGGGTGGAGGCTCTGGGGGCTCGGCTGGGGGTTATGGAGGAGCTGGAGGAGGAGGTGAGGGGGTCGTTATGGTATGAAGGGCGACGGAGGTGAGAGGGGTTAAAAGGGAGAAAAGTTGTGGGGGAAGAAATCTGGGGGAGTCCTAGCTAGTGCCCTCTCCCCACAGCTCTGCCTGTCTCCACAGGTGGCAGCCTCGGCTTTTTCCCCTCCTCCTTGGCCTACAGCCCCTACCAGTCTGGCAGCGCGGCCCCGATGGGCTGCTACCCAGGAGGCGGGGGCGGGGCGCAGATGGCCTCCGGGACGCCTGGCGGGGATGCTGCGGGGGGAGCAGAGGCGATGGCGCCTCCCAAGCCCCCGCAACGCGAACCGCATGCCCCGGAGCTGCTTCAGCGAGGTATGGCCCTCGGAATCGGGCGGTCGGGACGCTGAGGGTAGGAGACCTAGCCTCCGCCCACTCCTCTGTTGCCCCCAGCCCGGGAGTACAACGCCCGCCTGTTCGGCTTGGCGCAGCGCAGCGCCCGAGCTCTACTCGACTACGGCGTCACGGCGGACGCTCGCGCGCTGCTGGCGGGACAGCGCCATCTGCTGACAGCGCAGGACGAGAACGGAGACACGTAGGTGGGCCGGTGGGCGGGAGACGGGCTCCGGGAAAGTTGCGGGTTGCGGGGCGAGAAAGGGACCTTCAAGGAGCCAGGGCTCTAGAGTTGGACAGACCCGCTTTCAAGTCTGCCCATGCTATGTACTAGCTCTCTTCAAGGTACCTAATCTCTTCAGACTTAAATTTTGTCGACTATCAGAAGGGCACAATAATTGCACTTGACTACCTCAAAAGGTGCTCAGAAAGGATTAAGTTCAGGTGTTGCGTTGCCCTTGGAGACGTGTGGGCTCAACAGGCCCCAGCAAGGGAGATTATGGGGGCACTGGGGTTTTAAGGGTAGAGGATGCACTGAGTGGTTGGGCTTGCTAGGCCAGAGTCTCACACCCCATCCCCCAGGCCCCTGCACCTGGCCATCATCCACGGGCAGACCAGTGTCATTGAACAGATAGCCCATGTCATCTGTCATGCCCAGCATCTCGGTGTTGTCAACCTCACCAACCACCTACACCAGGTGAGGGGCACCTATTGGTGAGGGGGTAGGGGTTGGAAGGCAGGTGGGTCTAGGCCAGGGGTGAGCCTGCTTCACTCTGCATGTGTCCCCAGACGCCACTGCACCTGGCAGTGATCACCGGGCAGACCAGCGTGGTGAGCTTCCTGCTGCAGGTAGGCGCAGACCCAGGACTGCTAGATCGGCATGGAGACTCAGCAGTGCACCTGGCACTGCGGGCAGGTGCCAGTGCCCCCGACTTGCTGCGTGCACTACTGCAGAGCGGAATTCCCACCCTGCCCCAACTGTTGCACATGCCAGACTTCGAGGGTGAGTTCTTCACCTCATCTGGACCAGGGGCAAGGGTGGGAACCAGGGAAGGTAACCGGCGAGTGCCTAGAGTGAACATGAGGTGTAGAGATCAGCTGGTCAGGAGGCCCCATTGGGATCACAGCTGCAGGCTGAGTATCCTGTGTCCCTAGGGCTGTACCCAGTACACCTAGCAGTCCGTGCCCGAAGCCCTGAGTGCCTGGATCTGCTGGTGGACAACGGGGCTGAAGTGGAGGCTGCAGAGCGACAAGGGGGCCGAACAGCTCTGCATCTAGCCACAGAGATGGAGGAGCTGGGGTTGGTCACCCATCTGGTCACCAAGGTGGGAATGAAGACTGTGGAGGGACCAAAGATGGTGAAGATGCAGGATAAGAGGCAGCTAGTCTGTTGGTGCTGTAATCAACCACTCCCTTGCACTCCACAGCTCCGTGCCAATGTGAATGCTCGAACCTTTGCGGGAAACACACCCCTACACCTGGCAGCTGGACTGGGATCTCCAACTCTCACCCGCCTCCTTCTAAAGGCTGGTCAGTCTCACCCTCATGAGCATATGAACAGGGTCAGGAAGAGGAAAGGGCAGGGCTCCCATTCCCCCCACTTTGCAGTCCTTATTGTGGATGAACTCCCATTGTACTTCCCGCCCCCAGGTGCTGACATCTATGCAGAGAACGAGGAGCCCTTGTGCCCACTGCCTTCACCCCCCACCTCTGATAGTGACTCAGACTCTGAGGAGCCCGAGAGGGACACCCAAAGCAGCTTCCGGGGCCACACACCTGTCGACCTCACTCGCAGCACCAAGGTGAGGCCAGCCTGGGACTAGAAGTACCAGGAAACAGGGAATCTGGGGTTAGGGATGGGGTCGAGTATCTGGTACCTGGGCTTTAGGACTGGGATGGGAGTAGTCAAAGCTGAGGCTGTCTCTCCAGGTGAAGACCTTGCTGCTAAATGCTGCTCAGGACACCATGGCGCTCCCCCTGACTCCGCCTAGCCCTGCAGGTGAGATTTCTTCACCCATTGCCAACCCCTAGGCCCCTGCTCACAGAGGTCTCTTCTCCTTCAGGGCTTCTGAAGGAGTCTGCCTTGTCATATTGCCGTGAAAGAAAGGTAGTGTCCAGGTGTCTGTGCCTATGACCATCTCTGGAGGTAATTGACACATCTGTGTGTGTCTCCCTCAGGGCCAGAGCTGCCACTAGAGGATACAGTCCTGCAGAACCTGGAACATCTGCTAGATGGGCCAGGAGCTCAGGGCAACTGGGCAGAGCTGGCAGAACGGCTGGGGCTGCGCAGCCTGGTGGACACATATCGAAAGACAGCCTCGCCCAGTGGCAGCCTCCTGCGCAGTTACAAGGTCAGTCAGGCCCCGTCCCCTGCTCCATGCCTGGCTTCCTTTCCCTAATCTCAAATCCCATGTGCTTCCTTGGCTCTAAGGCTCCTCTTACACCTCTTCCTTCTCTCCAGCTGGCAGGTGGGGACTTGGCGGGCCTGCTGGAAGCTCTGTCTGACATGGGCCTAGAGGAAGGAGTGAGGCTGCTGAGGGGTCCCGATGCCCGAGACAAGCTGCCCAGCACAGGTAAAGGGGTCCTACAGGGAAGATCAATCTGGGCCTGCAGGGTGGGAGGCCTAAGGCCTTGACTCTTCCCTATCTCCTTCCCTGTGTCCACTCCCCCAGCAGAGGTGAAGGAGGACAGTGCATACGGGAGCCAATCAGTGGAACAGGAGGCTGAGAAGCTGGGCCTGCCCCCTGAGCCACCAGAAGGGCTCTGCCATGGGCACCCCCAGCCTCAGGTGCACTGAACTGCTGTCTGCCCACCAGCCTCCTTCCTGGGCCCCTCTGTACAGTATCCCCACCTATTCCAGTTCTTATTTAATACCCCATGCCCACCCCTCAGTTGGGGTAAATAAAGGATTCTCATGGGAAAGGGAGGGGGCCCAGCCCCCTTCTCAACTTATGGCAGCCCCTGAGTGACTCTTGTCCTACCCTGACCCCAAGCAGGCACTGGAGAGAAGAGGTCCAACCAGCAAGTCCAGAGCAATTTTAATGAGGGTGGAGGCTGTACAAAGGGCAGGACCCACTGAAGGAGGGGAAGCAAGGCCATGCTACCCCTGGCCTATGTATGGGGGCCTGGGCATGGACACCCTTCCTCCACTTCTGGAAAGAGAGAGGGTGAGCCCTCAGGGAGAAAGAAGGGAAAACCAGCTCAGCTCCAACTCCTGGCCTCTGTCTGAGCCAGGCCCCAAGATGGAGAGGAATTGCTGGTGTCAGGGGTGGGGATGGTCTCAGCAGAAAGCGGAAAAGTTGTCAGGCCTCCCCCCCCCAAAAAAAGCATCAAAAGTCCAGAGGTCCTGGCCCCTCCCACCCAGCCCCCAGTACGAAAAGTGCAAAACATTATCACAAAAAGGGGGTCAACTTAGAGGGGCCCTTAGCCTAGGCTCCTGAGGCCAATGCCCTAGCCCTGCCCTGCCCCGGACACCGCGTCCGGCGCGGTCGGGCCTTGGGCTGAGGAGCCCTCAGGGGTGGCCCGAGGCCAGCCCCGGGCTCAGCAGGTACCCAGCGGGCACCACCCCCCCGCATGCCCACCCCCAACTCAGGGCTTCTGCCGCCTACTGCCTGCCCCTGTTCGAGGCTCTGAGCCATGACACTGAGCCTGGGGCTGGCTGGAGGTTTTGGGCTGCAGGGAGGGACTGGAGTGAGGTGGGAAGACTCCATCCTCTGTGCTCCCGGCCTGGGCCAGTGCTGCCTCTACTGCATCCAGCTCTTCACTGCCCGCCTTTAGCTTGACCCGAAGCAGTGCTGCATATGTGCCATAGCGGGATTTCTGAGGCAGAGGGGCAGGGGCTGTGAACCCACACTCCAGCCTCTGCCCACCCCACCCCATCTCTACCCTGTCTGGACCAGGGAGGGACACTAAAGTAGGCTAGGAGGTGGCAGCTCCTTGCCTACCTCTAAAGCCCCCAAGTACTGACATGATACCCTGGTAGGCTGGTGATCATCTCTGGGCTCTTTCAAGACTGCCAGTTTTAACAATGTTTCTTAAGCCTTTACCAGAGTTAGGAAAACTGAGCACGTGACAGACATCTCCCTTCATTACCCTAGTGGGTATAGAATATTCTTCCAGTTCCACAGAAGAGGAAACTGAAGCTGAGAGAGATTAAACAAACTACCCAAAGTCACCCACCTGGTTCCACTCTTAAGAGTCCATTCCCTTAACCACTAGTCTGAGCCTATATTTGGGGACATGGAGATCCTGCTAATGGAAAAAAGTGCTACAGAGGTGCCTAGGCTGGGAGGCTCACCTCAAACTCCAGGTAGGCCTCCTTTTGCCGCTGCTCCTCGGCCTCCTTACCCCGGGCCTTCTTGCCCAGTTGGGCTGCCCGGTGCTCCCGCAATTCACTTGCCATAATCTTCAGCTTGGCTTCATGGGTTCGCACCTGCTCCTCCTAGAAGCGAGAGGGAACCCGGTCAGGGTCACTCTAGCACATACAATGCCTTTATGCAAGTTCATTTAAAAGGAGCCCCTTCCTTTGGATGAACAAAGCACTATGTCTGGGTTCACAGCATAGCACGTGGAGTAGAGGCTGAAACTCAGGCCCCCCCAGCCATTGTCCCAGTGCATTAGACATCTACACAGTCATACATGGTAACCTTGAGTGTAGTCAGCGTGGGCCAGCCCAACTCTATCCTACTGGCCAGGTGGACAGAACTGGGGGTACCTGAGAGAGGCGGGTGGCAGCACTGGGCAGCAGAGGGCGGCTGAACTTCTTCTGGGAACTAACAGCAGCTGGGAAGGGGGGTGCAGAGAACATGGCAGCCACCACATTAATGCGAGTGATCCAGGACTGCATCTGCTCCAGGCTCCTGAGGAGATAGCACAGCCACTTGGGACCTGGGCCCAGGGTTCCTGGCCAGGGGTGCCAGTCCGGGGTCAGGATGTGGACTGAGAAAGAGGCAATCCAGGGACAAAGGAGTGAAAAAAGTTGAGAGTAGGGTGAAGGGGTCTGGAATGGGCAGGAAGAGGGCACTCACGGGGCCTGGAAGAGGAATACCCTCCAGTCAGCTGTGCGCAGGTAGAACACATGGGGCCTCTTGCTGTAGTCATTGGCACGAGTGGCCAGTGCGTGGTGGATGCTGATGGCATTCTTAAGCTCTGCCTCTGATAGGGTCTTCCCAGGCTGGTATTCCTCCTGCAGGGGTGCCCATCTCGTCCTGGCCACAGTCCCAGCCTGGCCCAGCCCAGCTCAGACCCACTCCCCGGAGCCAGATAAGCCCCCACCCCTTGGGCTGGCCCCGCACCTTCTGCAGGTAGAGGATCATGCCCTTGAGGATCCCGTGGAAGCTCTTCCAGCCCCTCTTGCCCCGAGGTGCTGGGGGAAGGAAGACAGGTCACAGAGGTCCTGGGACAGGCCCACTCCCATCCATCCCCCAGACCCCACTGGGCCACGTACTCTTCCTGCAGTCAGGATCTGCGTGCACCTTTCGCACCAGGGCCCCGTGCTTGTAGACTGCGGCCCCTGGCTCAGGAGTCAGGTCCAGGAAAGGGCTGGAGCCACTGCCACTGCCCCCGCTGACCCTTTTGATGACCTTGGGGTTGGGGTCGGCCAACTCAGACAGAGAGCGTCTCAGCTCCTCCTCGTCTCTGCAGGTGTGATCACTTCAGAATGGGCTGGCCATGGAGCCACAAACCCCCCACCCTTCAATCTTGGCCTCTGCCCACCCAGGAAAGCCCCTCTACTGCTTGTAGAGATGGGAATAGGGAAACTGCTGCTCTCAGAAATGTGGCTTCCTTCAACCTGAGGCTCCTGGAGCCATGGATCCCACCTCAGACCAAGTCTCTCCAGGGGGCGCTGTGTCTCCCTGCTCAGATCACGGCTCTTTGAGGCAGCACAGTTCCTTCAGATTAGAGCTCTCAACGGTAGGGCCATGTCTGTCCCTTTCTTCTCTCACATGTAACCAGCCCCATCCTCTCCATTTCTGCACACATACACCCCCAAACCTCGCACCCTTCTCCACCAGGACAGACACATATCTGACTCAGCTATCTCAGCCACACCCAGCGCCAGCTCATAGCTTGTTGGCTAAATGGTGGCAGAAGTAGCTGCTTCCTAGTGGTCCCCTAGCACATTCTGGACTGCAGGCTCTGTCGGTATCATGTAAAAAGTCTGATTCTTTCTGGTCACTTCCTTGCTCAAGAACTTTCAAGTTCCCTATTGCTTCCCACATGGGACCTATATTACACCCCCGCCAGCACGCTCCTTCCATTCTCCATTCTCACCAGGCCTGCCTCTGCTTCATCTCCCCATGCCACACTCATTTCAGCCACTACATATTTGCCTCCTAAATATCAACTCCCTTTCTCTCCCCAAATGCTTCCCCTCCTTTAAGGCTATGCCCAAGTCCCAATCTTCTAAAAAGCTTCCCCTGGTCTTTTGTACTACATTCCTGACCTCTGCTTCCTCTGAGGTCTCTCCTGCCTGCTGGGAGTTCCCAGCTAAACTGAACAGTAACTAGACTCTCAGCAGATACCAGGAAATATGAGTGATCTATTGACTGTTTACTTGAGAGCTCTACCCTGACTAGGGGACCCAAGGCTAAAATTGGACCTCTTCTCTCAGACCGGACTCTTCCAAGACTAACCCTGAGTCTGCTTTCACTGGGACTGCCAAGAGTAGATAATGTGTTCTGTAACACTCTGGGCTCCTTAGGACCAATGGGGGTGGGGGAAGCTCACACTATTGGTCAAGGCCCTACCTGCAGAGATTTCTGTTTTCCCACTAGGGTTGCCAAGGGACCTCCCCTTTTTGTTTCAGCACCCATTCTCCCAGGCCAGCTAACAGTGGCCACCCATCCCAATCCAGCTTGTCATAACAACCCAGCCAGAGACAAGACACAGAACCCCAAGTCCGGCCAGGCATCTCCAAAGAAGGAAGTGAGGCTACCTCACTCCTCTCATAGCCTCACCCACGTCCCCTGTCCCAGGGCCCCAGGACTCAAAGGGCCTACCTCAGCTCTCTCAGCCTCTCCAGGCTGACCCTCCCCCACTCCTCATCTCCACCCCACCCCACAGCCCAGGACTCACATGGCCCACTGCAATTTTTCATTCTTGATGGAGCTGTACAAGGCCTGGGGAGGAAGGAACAGATCAGGGTAGTATGAGTCAATCTTGGAAGGAGGTGCACCATGTACCCCGATACTAGAGCTCAGAGCTCTCCTTCCCAACCTGGGGGAGGAGACAGAACTGGGCAAGGGGGCAGCAGAGGGTAAAGACAAGAGCAGGCTCTGGAATGGAGTAATAGGACCCAGGCCCAGCTCTGCTACTTTTTTAGTTGCATGACTTTGATCAAGTATCCATGAAGGAGAACAGACACGGTAACACACATTTAATGAAAGATAGCAATTAGCATAGGGCATCCTGGCATATGGTTGATGCACAATAAATGACAGCTGCTATTAATATCTTTACTGTTGTTATTACTGTTAAGGGGTCATCCTGCTGAGACCCTGGGTGGGAGAAGCACAGCTCTGAAGGGAATGGAAAAGAACAGCCCAAGAAGCTCCCCTTTTCTCAGCCGTGTGCTTTGGGTCTGTTTCCACAGGATAAATCCACACAGAGCACAAGGGAACACAGGCCCAGGAAATAGGACTCACCCTGTAACCTCCTTCCCTGGGTAACAGAGAACATACTCTCATGGCACCCAACCCCAGGACAGGCTGAGACCTTCTCCCAACCCAGACTGCCCAACCAGGCCAAATGCCAGGGTGGTTCAGCCCCTTGCCCACTCGCACACTTCATGTTCCTAGGAAGTGAACACTAGTGTAAAAGGCAATAGTTTTAGTTTCCAAACCCTACACACCTCAAACTCTCTGTGAGGTCCTGAACCAGTCACTTCCCCTCTGTACAGTTGGTCTGAGGGACGTATGGGGGCCCTGGGGTGGTCAGAGGAGAGAATGGGCTCCAGGAGTAGCATAGAGGACCCCTCCTCTTGGGAGTGGCCTGCAACATGAATCCACACTAGTGCCTCCCACTGTCGGGGTGCTTTTGACAGCCTGTCTGTGAGTGGGTGTGTCCCCAGTATGTGTGTGTTGGGCTTAGTGTGTGGCATGTGATGCTGTCTGCGTGTGAGCTGGGTGCAGTAGTGACGTCGGCACCTTCGTAATGGGATACAACCCCCTAACACACCATACTCTCTGACACTATCACTGCCCACTGCCATGCCAAGCGGCCCACATGTGCACACCCTGTTCAGGGACGAGTACACCCCACAGCCTCCATCCCACACACAGCACAACCCAGTCTTATGCACATATACCCTCCCAGCATACACCCAGCCCAAACTCAGCATAGCTCGGCCCCTAAACCCTCACTCTCCAACTCTCTTGGCCAAGAGGCTGAAGTGGCCACTGACATCCAACCTACAATTCTTGTCTCCAGCGTTCCAGTTCATCCCCTGCCCCTTTTGGCCCCCAACTATGTGACTTCCAAAGTCGCAAACCCCATCCACTAGCCCCCTCTCATGCTCCCATCTAGAAGACCCAAAGGCCCTTTAGTTTGAGATGCCTACCTTGATCCAAGGGGTCTGTGCCCTTCCCCCTCCAATCCATGCCCATCCCTGGCTATCCATGGGCTCCATCCCTGCTGGGCTCCCTGCTCAGCCCCACTGATGACCCCCTTGGCTCGTGCTGCCTTTGGTGCCACCTTCTAGTCGCCCCTCAACCTCAGCCGCCCTCGGCAACTCCCTCGTTCGCCCCCCAGCCTGGCGTGGGCCGCCGCCCCAACACCCTCACCGCCTTTTTCTTCTTGCGGCTCTGCAGGCGGCTGACCACCAGGTCGGTGTAGAGCACGGGCTTGAGACTGCGCGAGCGCTGCGGCCAGCCGTAGCACAGGGTCTCTGCGCCGCGGTGGGTGCGCCCGTAGCGAACCGAGCAGAGCGAGCGCGAGCGCAGCCGCCCGGCGCTGCTGTGGATGCTGTTGACGCCGATCATGCT